CTGGGTTTAGCCCAAGGCTAGGGGAAGGGGAGCTCCAGCTAATCCCAGCAGTGATGGTCATTGGCTTAATAGTAGCAAACTTGGTGGCAGTTGGGGCTGGGAGCGCAGAGGCCTTCTATGGGAGACTAGGCTGTGGCTCTGTAGGCAAAGGCCTTCTCCATGACTCCCCACGGCAGATCTCTATGAAAAGAGCCAGTTTACAGTTCCAAACAGTTTATTGTCATGGTGGAAAGTGGATACATAAAACCATATCCCACTTCTCAGAGTGAGGCTGAGATTAAATACCTTTTGCAGGGAGGAATGTCTGCGAAGGGAAGCTTAATCACTAAGCCCTCCAGACCTCTAGGTACCTCATTAGCATGGAGAACTCTGTTTTTAGTCTTCTTGACAGTGGTCACATCTCTTTCCTATTGTGTTGGTCTGAAATGTTAGGGATGCCTCATCTACATGTGGAAGGGATTGGGGGTGTTGCCCTTACATGACTGATGGCCACAAAACTCTCTGGGGGTGGGGGTGGGGATGAGGGTGGGGGTGGGGGTGGGCTGCAGCTACATTGCAGGGGCCTGGTGTCAGGAGCTGGAGAAGCTCCCACCATCCCTTCAGGGTCTCCTGGGCTTCAAGCCTTTAGCTCGACCTTACCAGGCTTCCTCTCAGGGTCCACGGCCCTGCAGAAGTTTATTCGTCAGAAAAAGGAGATTGAAAGTAAAACAGAAGAGACAGCAGATCAACTTTGGTACAACAGCAATCATAGGCCTACCTGGGATCAACACCCTGGTGATGCTCCAGGGGCAAGAGCGGTGTCACATGGCCTCTCACACAGTCATTTTGGACCTGTCACAGGCTCACTATCCCTTTGGTTAAATATTAAAGCGTGGAGTATTTGGGTCAAAAAATAGGTGCCTTTGTGACTTTTATCTTCTATGGTGGTCACACCATTTTACATCCCTACCAACGGTGTCTGAGAATCCCAGTATTTTGCTCTTTCATCTGGACAAAGTCTCAGTGTATAGCTAAGTCTGGCTCCGAACTTGCTACAGACCGTTTCCAAAGCAACTCTATCACTTTACCTTCTTGCCAGCAGTGTGTAGGAGTTCAAAGTCCTTCTAGCCTTCATCAACATTGACTGTTATCAGCCTCAAAAAAAAAATTATGGCCATCCTTGTAGGTATAAAGAGATACCTCATTATCATTCCAGATGTCCTTTTGAAGAGCAAATATTTTCTTAAGATCTTTTAAAATCTTCCCTCTTTTATGGGTCACATTTTTGTGTGTTGTATTTAAGCGATCTGACTGTGCAGGCAGCAAAGTGGGAGGGGCAGAGCCATCCGAGTCTATCCGTACTGCAGATGCTGCTGCAACATTTGCTGTCATCCCCTTCTAGGTTTTGGTCTTGCTTTGGTTCAGTACTGATTAACCATAGCCCCATTCTTCCCTTGCAGAGCGATAATGTGTATTCTGTGCCATTATACATTGAAAGTATATAATTTGATTTTTAAAAAATTTTACCGGGATTTACAGTTAAGAGATTGCCTTGAGTCTCAGAAGAGACTCTGGATCTTTTCAGTTGCTATGATAAAACACCACTACCAAGGATGCTTTTAGAAGAAAGGGGTTTTGCGGTTTCTGTTTTCGTTGTCGTTGTCTAACTTGCAGCTCCAGGGGTTAGCGTCTATAATGGTGGTGACAGCACGGCAGCAGACAGCAGGCCTGGTGTCAGGGGCAGGAGGCTGAGAGAACACACCTTGATTCACAAGCACACAGAGAGAAAACTGGATACGGGGTGACTCTTTCCTCAAAGCCTGTCTCCAGCAACATGCTTCCATGAAGGTTTCCAGTGTCATTTGTTGCAAAGCTCAGCCTTTCCTCATTGAACTGTTGGGGCACCTCAGTAAAGAATCATTTGGCGTAGACTCCAGTAATCATATTTCCAACAACATTAACCTAAAACTAATTTTTCTCCAGCCCGATGTAGTGTGATTTCTTCTCTTGCAGGGTGTGGTTAATGTCAAGTCAAAGACTTTAGGGAAGCTCTTTCTCTTCAGCCCCCTCCACGGCAGTCTGCTGCCTCAGGTCTCCTGTCTCTGTTACTAAGAGAAACTGCTAGATTGTATCTGAATTTCTGCTCTGCTCTGTAACATGGGAGTTCTCAACAGGCAATCTTTTGTGCACAGCAGGGTTCATTTTCCTTGTTTTCATTTTATTTGGGCTTGCTTTTCTTTTTATTGAAACTTGCTTTTCTTTTTATTGGGACTTGGTTTCCGACCCTGTATGTTGTCCAATAGGAAACTACTGTTTCCTAAATTGCTGTTTTTCCCCGGTTGTGTAAGATGGGAGAGCACATCTAATCCTTGTTACTCCATCATGGCTGGAAGCAGAATCTATTGTTTCAGTATTTGCCAATATGTTTATAATGTGAAGTACCTATCCTGTGGCTGGGGTTAGAGATCTATTGCTTGGTTCATATGTTACAGAGTGACAAAAGAAAATTCCCCTTGAAGTAGTTTAGACCAAGAGTGAGTCTGTGTTTGCATTCTCTCCTCTTCCTGTGCCATCTATCTTTAGATTGTGATCTATGACCTGTCTGTATCTTCTCGATTGTAGGTTTGATCTGACCCTGTTGCCTTTCTGACTTGGCTATTCCTAACAAAGAACTTGCCTCTGTACTTATTGGATAGTACAAAAAACATGGTATGGGAAGGATATGAGGATATGTATTTTTTAAACGGAACTTTTTAACAGAGTTTTACCAGGAAAACTACTGATGCAGAAGAGCATTTACCAGCATTCGGATCTTATCAACCATACCCACATGTTGCTTCCAACATTTACGGTGCATATTTATTGTTTACTATTGCTATCAGACTCTTGACAGCAATCATTACCA